CGATGTTGCGCCTTGCTTTCGTTGTTCGTCGCGCGCTCGTTACTCGTGCTAGTTTTTCCGCCCAAACTATTTTTATTGCATATCCTGTAGTTTTTTATGCACTCAAGTGCTCGCAAACATATGTGTCATTCATTCACTTGTGCGCAGCCCCTTCCTGCTTGCGTTTCTAACGATTCCATAAAAAATCACTCTCAGACAGGGGCGTCTCTCAGGCTATTAGTACTAATCTGAACAAATTCGATCATTAAGCACTCACCCTCCGCCCTCGTCATGCGGGCGCACCAAAACAGCGGGTGGAAAGCAGAAAATCATTGCAAAAAACACTTGCAAAAAGTTGCGAAACATACTGGTTCGGGGTATAAAAAGTTCTTTGCATCAATGAAATAAAAATAAACGTAAAATATTGTCAAACAATTCAATTAGTAGTTGGCGGTCCATCCTTAGGAGCACACACAAACGTGCCCTGCAAAAAATTTGCTCAGCTCGTGCGCCAGTGATTTATGCGCTTGTGGACTTGTAATTTATGTGGTCAAGCTGAAGTCTAACGATGAGTTAGTGGACTGTCTAAAGAAAATTTAGTATGCTTGTGAATGGTGTGGGTGTTGATTTCTTGTTGTTGGGCTGGACTCCCGCCCATGGAGCGATATGTACCAAGTACATATATTCAACTGCTAAAGAGCCTCTCAATTAATTGTGTCGATGGAATAATCATGTTTAATCAGTTAATTGTCTCAACTAGGCATAATTTAAGTACTGCCAACCGAGGAGTGAAAGTAGTAACAATTATGCCAGAGGATTAGCTGACCGCGTTACTTCTATTGTTCATCTAAATTTTGAGCGTTGTCCGACAGAAGTCATATTTACTCTTTGCATTTTACAGCTTTTCCTCTGCGCCAACGGCCGGCCTCAGTTAAAAGAACTTCGTTAATTAGGAAGACAAATGCCACCAAGTCCAGCGTGGGGTTGTTGTTTAAATAGGATTGTTTTATTACCTCAATACTACCAATAGTGCCCAATGGTAATCAAGAAGCCATAGGAATCAAAAATAATCAGTTGTTCTTTTACCTCAGACTAACTTGAGTCTCATTAAAAGTCTCTTTAATATGTGTATATATATATGAGAGAGAGTATACATCTCGTAACTTGCAATGAAAATTCTTTTCGAGTTTCAATAACATATCGGACAGGTTGGTCGATATTTTCGATACAAAGTGCGTTCATATATTCGTCTTCTGAGGTGTGACTAGTTGCGTTCCGATTTGAACAATTTTTGGACACAAGGAGGCACTTCAAAGATGCAACTCGTTTTTGTTTTCTCCAGATAGACTGATTGGTTCTTGATTTGTATACTCGAAGATCAGTTGGAATTTAAAACTGTGTTATTTGCGAAGTGGACGTGATGTAATGTAGGAATGTCGGAGGATGTAAAATTTCACGCAAGTGAGGATTAAAATACTGATTGCCACTCATTTAGAGGGTGTTGTTCTTTCGGTCTTAGATCAAGTATTCTCTGGGTAGCCAAAGGACATCCGTTTGAAAGCGTGCTAAAGCTAGAAGGCGAACCATTCCTCCCCAGAGTTGTGCGCTGGATCCGCCAGAAAAATGTAAGAATGCCACGAAAATATTGCCTACCGAATTTGTTTGAGTACTCCCATGTTCCAGTTTTGGCACCGACTCCTATAAAGCCCACTCGTACCATATCGGGTGTAAAATTGTATGTACCTGGCGCATTTGGATATAGATTTATAGCACTTTTAATAGTGGGCGGGATTATAATCCGAATTCTTCTTTCATGTTTTCTCTCTCTTTCTGAACTCATTTAGTGCTGCAATAAGGAGGTTTTCCTTAGTCTGTTTCTGTTTTGCTGTCGCCTGAAACCCTCGACCGTCAGTTCTCTTCGGAGTCATTAAAATCCCAACTAATTAGTTGTACTTTCCCGCAGTAAGATTTATCATTTTAATGTACGAATTCACACGCGTCCACATGTCAGCGGTGATTTCGAAATGCGGCCACAAAACAAAGCACCAAAACCAACTACAATTACATTACAAGCCTACGATTGTTAAGGCAAAAGCAAAGTAATTAGCGGCTGGTAAATTGCAGGAAAATGGGCGCTGGGCGGACAGACGACAAAGCGCTGCCGTTAAAATGGCATTAAACCACCGACGGTGAGCTAAGTGAGAACGCCTTCTAAACCCGCGTATGGGGATGTAGCATCTCCGCAATAACCACCAACACCCTCTAGACGGTTTGGACTTTAAAATGTTTTACATTTTCTACATATTGCCGACAGAGCGGCCACCGCTCGCTCGGCTTTCCGCTATGCGCAGTCATTAACCACCTCCGCCAGCTGCGGCATAGCAGCGTTTTTGCCGACGGCCGATTGCTCAATTTGATTTCATTTCGGCAATTTCTCATTTTCATAGTCAATTAAGTCAATCACACGCCCTTTTAGCCACCTTTTCAGGTTGGTCGCACCGTCTTGCCGCTGGTGCGGTGGGCGCGCTTGAGCACTTCCGCTGCGGCTGTGCGACTGCCGCGCGGCGTTAATTCGCGTTTCGACGTTTATTGCTCAATTTCAGTGGTTTCCACAACAACAACGCTACTTGCTTACAATTTTTTTTTATTAAAAATGCGTGTGGTTGTTGCCGCGCGTGGCAACCCAAGTGAGGGTGAGTCCTTTTAGACCGCGTAAGTTCCGGTTGCTGCGCGCCAAGCGAAAGTGTAGCGTTAATGAGTGTGTGCGTGTGTGCGCGCGGGCGCTCGTGTATGCACCTTTTGCATTTTCGCTGCCGACGTGTGGGCGCGCTCGCTGGCGATGACAACATCGAAACATTAACAACAAGCGTTGAATAGTCTGATGCGCGCTCTATTATTATTAAGTGCGACAAAAACAACAATTTAGCTTTGTTGCTGAGTTGGTGGTGGCGCAAAGCGGACACGTGGCAGCTGCTTTTAAAATTGAATTTCCAAATTTCCGCTCATGTAATCTGTCCGCGTCAATTGTTTTGGTCTATGAATGTGGTTGTTGTTGCAATTGTTATTGTTCGGTGGTTATATCGATAATAATGCTGTGTTGCAACATGGATGCGCGCAAATGCAACATGTTGCTTAGTAAGGGCTAATAGAGCGGCGCATTTGCATACAAATAAGCTGGTAAGAGGAAAAAAATTTCATGCGGAAACATTGAATATCTCTGGATATAAATTTATTACTCATTAGAATTTCTACATAATCAATATTTGGTTGATAGTTTCAATTTTAAAATAAATAATGTTTGCTAGCAGCAAAAAATATTTCTTTATAGCCTAAACAGGGTATAGAGAGTCGGAGATCTTTTAAGTCATAGATATAAAAATTGCGTCGAATAAAATTGTCCGCTACAGTTTTTTTTCATACTGTTCTATTAAAAATTTCAAATAATGGTTAACTTAGTAGCTCTGAAATGAATGCCACATAAATATTATGCGACCGTTATAGTCAATAAAAATTTATATAACGCAAAAGTGGTGCGGAAAAATTATTAAAAAATTTTCAAATAACCGCAGTGGTCTATAAGAAAATTGCCAAAGGTGTAGGGGGGCTAATCCTAAAACAATTTCTCGCGTTATTAAACGCTTTAAGGAAGATGAGCGTATTGACAGGAAGAAAGGTTCTGGTAAAAAATGTTCCACATTATTGTGAGAAAGCGAAGAACGTTGTGACAGTTCTCAAGAAAGCCCCAAACATTTCGGGCAGGAAATTGGCGAGGAAGGCTGGCTCTTTAGAATATTTCGTACGCAGGACGAAGAAGGAAGCTGGGCTGAAGATGTACAAGGTACAGAAAGTTCCGGATAGAAACGCCGTCAAGAACGAACAACGAGTTAAGAAACTGACGAAAGATTTTGTTAAGATATTCGAATGCTGCATCATGGATGACGAGACCTACTTTTTAGAGGACCTTTCTCAGCCACCTAGTGAGGAATTTCATACAACCGATTCTCTAGGAAATTTTTCTGAAAAATTCAAAGCCAAAAAGGTGACAAAATGTCCAAAGAAATTTCTTGTGTGGCAGGCAATTTGTAGTTGTGGTAAAAGAAGCAGTTTAATCGTTACATCGGATACAATCAACAGCGAAATATATGAGAACGAATGCTTACAAAAGAGATTGCTCAAATTTCTAAGCCAACCTAAAGTGTCCACGTTTTTTTGGCCTGACTTCGCTTCATGTCACTATGGCAAAACAGCCTTAGAGTGATTTCAACGGAATGGAGTGATTTTAAAAGAGAGTGATAAAAAGAGTGACGAAGTTAACAAACAAGTGACCAACGTCGTTCAAAACTTTAAAAGAAGTGGTCTTCAGCCGCTATGCGAGCATCTTACGCTACCACAAAATATATATGTATTTATATAAATATTTACCACTAATGGGCGGGGTTCCGGAAAAAAAAAATATTTATAAAACGTAGTTCTTGCTTTCATTTCCCATTATACAAATTTCAAAAATATTTTAGTTTAAAGAAATCGGACTACTGGTTTTAAATTTTTTTCATTATTGTAACGGACAATTTTATTCGACGCAGTCCTTATATTACTATTCAGTGTGAGTCGATCCAGACGGTCTGCCTGACCGTATTTTCGCGAACTTTTATTTCTGGTTTTGAGATATCGATCTAAAATTTTGCACACGTCCTCTTCTCTACAAGAAGTTGCTCTACTTGCCGAAACCGCCGCTATCGGAGCTCTCTAGCATATAGCTGTCATACAAAATATGCGATACAATTCAAGTTATTGCACGAAAAACTATTTATTTGACAAGCTATTTTCATGAAACTTGGCTTGAATTATTATTCATGGCAACGCTATAATCTCCCATTGTTGCTGCAGCCAAAATTACCAGTTTTCAGTTTTCAGTTTTTTTTTACATTAACTTGCTACATTCAATTAATTTTCAATTAAAATATACATATAAAACCGTTATTTTAAATTTGTATGTATATATGTATATTTTCTCATTTCAGAAAATCTCTTCTCGAAACCAAAAAGTGTTACCAACATTTCAATCAAACTGCCACATTAAGCACATTTTGGCCTTAGCAGACTTCTTGTCCCCAGTGCCACTCGAGCACACACACAACCACATCGCGACAAGCACATAGGTAAACCGCCGCACAATGCGAAATGGATCGAGTATGGGCAATAAAATGTCAACTGGCATTTAGAAGAGGCTTAACTATTTAAATAATCAAATGGCCACGGTAAGTAAGTGATTTCCTTTACAAACATACGAGCATACGTATATATAAAACATATACATATGTATGTATGAAAATATTTACATAATTATGTCAGTGAATGACAGAGTGAGCGAGTGAGTGACTGAATGACTGAGTGAGCAAACGATTGAATAAGCCACCAAAGCAGATATATACATACGGCTACCTAGTGCAGTAGCCATGCGTTTTATATTATATTATTGCTGCGTGTGCGTGTGCGTGTGTGCGTTTTTGTCAAATCCAAGAACGCAATTAAAGTTGCCCTACAATCGTCTTATCAATGAGGTTTAAATCGATATGTTTACCCAGAACATGGGTATGTGTTTGAATGCGTGTGTGTGTGCGTGTTTGCTTGATACGATCAACACCTTGGTGCAGTTTGATTAATTTGTTTTCCAACATTTTATCAACAACTCTTTCTGTGCACATACATATAGTACATATGTACATATGTGTGTGTGTATATATTTAACATATAAGTTTATATAATTTTTATCAGCCCTTCTGTCAGCATTACACTTTATATTTTATCAATTTGTTTGCATATAATTTCATTGAATTTTTTATACGCATAAATATGCAAGTGTGTGCGTGTGTGTTTTCCCTTTGCTTCTCGTGTCGTGAATATGTTCCACTGCCTTATCTGGCTGCGTTGCGTTCCAGTTCATCCTTAACATAAATACTTTTGTTTGATATCACTGATTTTATGATTTTACGATTTTTTTTTTTCATATGGATTTCGCTTTAACACGCTCTCAAGTGGTTTCTGGCATTCATTTCATCTTGCTTTCATTAAATATTTTGCTTTGTTTTTGTTTATTTTGTGTGTAATATTGACTCTGATGTATATTTACCCTAACGGGATTATGCATAAGCGCTTACATACATATCCGCATAGCGAAGAAAGAATATACTCCGAAGTAAGCTTCATTGGCAGCCAGCGAACACCGTTATATACATATATCTCAGGTATGATACTGCTCGGCGGCGACTTTGTTTTTACTCATACTACCCCGAGCACATAATATTCAGCGTGTATCGCTCAAGGTTTGCAGTTTTCGAAACGTTTTGTCCTTTACTCATAGTTAGTTTGTGAGACTTAATCACCTTATTATTTATTTTTCACGATTTCGCAATACTATTCATGGATAACAATCCCCGTTATCTTCAGAATTTTAAACCAATCAATTCCATGGAAAGTACTAAACACCAACTTACGTAACTACTGGTCACGTTTTGTATCTAGGAGATCCACAAACTTTTGTTGCATACTTGCTTTGACAAAACTCTTAATGTAGTACTCCTGAGAAAGCTTATTAGAAAGGTGTCTAATAATGTCGAATGGAGTTTAGCTAGAGGGTATAATTAGGTTTAAGAAATCGCTCTAATTTCTACACTTTTGCGCGTAAGAGCTCTTCGGTTGCTTAAAACTTGAATTGCGACGAGACGAGAGCGGTTTGCAAGTCTTTTAAAACCCGAGAAGAACGCAAATCGGAAGATCGATTCGCTTCCAATCGACTGAAATTGGGGAAAAGCGTGCTGTCCCTAGCAGGCTTATCGGTTTTGCAACTTTCTGCGATTCGACTGTGACCGGGCATTCATACAAGTCTAATGCAGATAAAGCTTGAAGCTATGCAAATGCGGTTCTGCCCTCCTTGACCAGTTTTGTGCGCATGGTCAGAAAACTCAAAGCCAATATAGCCTTACCACTATTGGCGTGACTTCGTGCAGTTCGCGGAAATACCTCTAACGCTACTTTGACGACAGCCATTTCAGCTTGAAGGACGCAACAGTGGCCTGGTAGTCTGGAACTAGAGTTGATGGTTAGCTGTCGACAGAAGACTCCTCTTAACTTCGTTCCATTCGTTAAAAAGTGCACTCCTAAATCTTCGAACCGACCACAAGTCCCTCCTAGCTGCTTAGCTAATGTTGTTTTATTTTCTTTTCTTTCGTCCTCCACCAGACCACGATAGGCATAAAGCACTATAGGCTTAACCACGATTTTATAGAGCCAGAACATCACTTTGGTGAGAGGCGCCACCTATCCATGAGAACTTCAACGGTTGCACCTACAGGAAATAAAAGGCAATAGGTTTTCTTTGAACTTTATGTGGTTCCCCAATAATACTGAAGTAGTTGGTAGAAGAAACAAGCTGCAAGGTTTAAAAAAGGGTGTGTGGATCATACTTTGACGGAGAGTTTCACTGCAGAGTTGCCTATAAATTTGATTTTGATCAATCAAGTTCCTGGGGCAACTGTGCAAAGAAAAGGATCATGGATCTACAACCAAAACGACGATCATTTACGTTCGTCTATCAGCAATAAGGGCTCGAAATAAATTTTATCCTCAACGGTTTTACATTTCTGCCCGTTCTCTTTCGTTCATATCAACACTTTGACAATTGCTAAACCAATAGCTCAGAGTAATGCGATAATGGATGGTACTTTACCGTTAACCTCGTACTCTTAACCCACTTAGATGACGTGAGGATGTTAAAAATAATATCGACAATCAACATGCAATCAAAACATTAAGTGAAGAAACTCACATTTCACTTTATTTGTGATTAAATAAAGGAAATTGTTACTAAATAATTATTAATAAAATAAAGAACGGGCATAAATAATCAATAAATACTATATCCTTATCGTTTATCGTTTATTAAATCACGACGACGACTGCGAAGAAAAGCAGATAGCATCCAACTTCAGTGCTTTGATTCGCGCACTGACGATATAATAATTTCTGCTAGACGGACAAGCGATAGCGAAGTTTGACAGCGCGTAAACAGCAAGTACTACTATGGCAAAAAGTTAGTTATATTTCCACAAGAAGAAACCGTGCATACGAAGGCAAATATTTGTTTAAATTTTGTCTTGATAAATTACTGTTATTTTTTGCCTTTGTGCAACGACTAACTAACAAATTAAATAGCCGATGAATGTGAGTGACGATGACGTTGCTCAAACGGTCTGTACTGTTGCTGCTATGTGGTGTGGAAGAAAACAAGGTTCTCTCACGTTGTAGAGTCATTAAAAATTGTATAACTTTTGCTTGTAATTGTGGCAGATAAGCGACCCAATAATTATTCTATGCTTGTTCTATATTCTAATAAAGCTTGATGCAAGTGCCCCAGCATCAGCCATAATAAAACTGATCCTAGCGACATTGCTGATGATTTTCTTTTGAACAGCTAAGACCACCGATCTTTTCTGATGACAAGTACTTCTGAGAATGGTTCAAAAGGCTCTCATATAACGACGGAGCGCTTTGCCTCTGGTACACGTACCTGAAAAGGTACCTCTCGTCTTCGGAACTACGTCACCGTTGGCAGCTATACATTTGAAAATGTTTAGGACTTTGTATATATCGGAACCAAGCGCAGAATAAAATTTGGCAATAGGTGCTACTTTGATATCAGGGGGTAATTGAGAAGCAGATCCCGACGAACAAATAGTACTCTTCATTACACCCGTTCGATTATGCCGCGTCGAAACATGGGCGATGACGAATCGAGATGAGAAAGCATTTGGAGCATTCTAGAGAATCGTTTTTTTCAAGACGCCGCCTGCGTAAGCGGAGAAGATCGAAAAACGGCAGATGAAATAACGAACTGTTTGAGCTCTACGGTTACATAGATATACGTTCGCAAGGGGTCCCACGCCTCCAATGGAAGAACCGAAGGCAAAACCTTCCGTACCTTCCGTAGTTGGGATGTGTATGACTGGATCTCGTCTCAAAGCATGCACTTAGATATTTCGATGTACAAATTTTGTATTCAAGAGGGTGGATCTGCTTTTCCGTTGACTGTCTTGTGGATTCCAGTATATAGCGTCCCAGGTGATTGTGTCTGGATCTCGCCTCAAAGCAAATTTCTTCTTCAGCAGGGCGGATCTGTTTTTCCGTTGACTGTCTTGTGAATTCCCATCGATAGCGTCCCAGGTGATCGTGTCTGGAACTCGCCCCTGAACATGCCCGAACAAGCCTCGCCTGCCTTGGAACATTAAATGAAATCGTTTTGGTAACCCCTCTTTCTTTATACGATATAATGATTGTAGTTATTCCGGTCAGCTTTGCTTTGGGTCAACTTTTTTGGTTTATATTATAACATGTTGTTTTTTCCTTTTTACTCACTCACCTCTCTGTCTTCTGTTCTCTGTGGCTGAGTGTGCACTTGTCGCTACAGCTTGTCTAACAAGGTGGCTTTTTGTTTGATAATCGAAAAACGGCGTGACCAACCGGTGAGCGTACGAGTTACCGGACCGCCTACTCGCTACAACTGATATACACACAGGCTCACATATACATAAACATATAAATATAAATCATAAATATGTGCCATTTGGCTGGTTATCACAGTTATATATATCTATACGACACTTGAACGAACGCATGTAATCGCGACGGTTGCATAGCTCCCACCTATCAACCTATATGTTATGGAATTTTATGGCACCTCCCTCAGCAGAGTGGCGTGGGTTGGTTTCCCCTCGCACACTAACACCCTCACCGTCAGTCGATCGACTCAATATTTGCTGTGTTGTTATTTCGATAGTTTGCTTGAAGTTTGTATTTCGGCTTCTTGAGAATTTCTAGTGCTCAAACTGCCTCCAGAACCAATACAAAACCCAGTACACCTGTCCACAAGCGCTCCACAACATATACAGCGCGCTGTTGTTGTCACATCGCCCGCAAAGTTGTAGCATTTGTTATGTTATTATTTGTTGTAGTTGTAGTGTTTATGGCACTTGTTGTACTTGTCACTGCGATTGCACGGACAAAGCGGTGTATTGATGACGCCTCTGAAAATGACTTCCAAATCGGATGACGCAGACCCCGGCCGTGTTTCATCACGTTGTTTTTGCCGGCGTCAATGATGATGATGTGTAATTTAATTTGTCGTTTATTAGTTGAACACTCGTTTGTTTTATGAGACACTCGAGAGCTGTACTTGAATGGAGAAGTGTTTTGTGGCGTCGCACTTTTTTTATTTGGCTTTGGAACATTGTCTTTTTGAAGTATTGCTTCTGTGTCGACATGATTTATATAATAGCGCTGGAGCTCTAGTGCTGCTACGTCGTCGACTGAGTACTAATGCCAATTATTGGGAATTTAGATTAGCCGACGGCCACACGTGGCATGACCTTGCGAAGGGATCCATTGGTACAGGGTAGAAGAAAATCATTCCTATTATGTTCCTGTATGTTTGCTATCAGTAAAGGTTAAACTAATGTCCCTCAGGTATTGATAAACCCGAGCTTTGTAATACAAACGAACCTTCATTCTATATCATCGGTTTATGGTCGAGACGCCAAAAGCTTTGTTACTTATCTATGCCAATTAATTTTAGTTTATACTTTCTAATTAACCAGCTCTGCAGATTGAAGAAGTCGCAGGAAGTCGCCTTGTCTGAAACCTCGTTTGACATCGAAGCTGATGGAGCTTTTGGTACTGCTCAACATCAGCTTACACAGCCATATTAGTTTTGCGGGGATACCAAATAGAGACATCGCGGCATAAAGGCAGCTACTTTTCGTGCTGTTAAAAGCAGATTTGAAATCGACGAAGAGGTGGAATGTGTCGATTCTCTTTTCACGGGTCTTTTCCACGTTTTGGTGCATGGTGAATATCTGGTCTGTATTTGAATTTCCAGAACTAAAGCGACACTGATAAGGTGCTTTGGTCTTTCACAAAATACGCACGATAAGTTTTCTGAGTTTTGAGCTTGGAAAGATTACACATTTCTGTATAATTATAGATGTCATTGTCAGATATCTGTTTATTGCCGCTGTTTCTTCTTCGTAATTAGCAGTACTCTAAATACCGTCACCGTTAGATCGATAAGGCTTGTACGAACGTGAGTTACGACTGTGCTGCCAATGCGGATGAAACTCGGCAGTCAAATTAGTTAGAAGATTGCGTTCAGATTAGATTCAGGCATGAAAAGTAATTTGTGGGGTAAACAATAGTCATGACGCAAGTCGGGCACAGCGCGATAAACGGAAACAATGTGTGTGGGGCATATGAGTATGGCAATTGGCTGATTGGCTCTTTTGCCTTTTATGAAATATTTTGTTGTTGGGTTCAAAGAAATATTTATTTTGGGCGGTTATCGGTTTGCTGCAATTCCATTTTTTCATTAAAAAACTGCAATTTTATTCATATGATATACCAATATTGATATTTTTATTATTTTTTAAATTTTCTTTAGTTTTAAATTTGCTAACGTTAAAATTTACAGTTTTACATAAACATATTCTATTTATATATTTACCTACTATAATAATAAAAGGTAATTTTTTAGTTAAGTAACGTCTAGGAAAATAAATTTTCATAAATTTTTTTCCGGAAAATTTATTTAAAAAAAAAATTAAAATTTTCCAAACTGGAACTGTATTGAAAACTATTTTTATGGTGCTAAATCAGATATTTTACACGCGATTTGCACAGAAATTAAAAAAATAGTGAAGAAATTGAATTTAGTAACTGTTAATTCGAATATTTTGAGTTTTTAAATTAATTCATAAAACTTTAAACTATGTTTATGGTATACTTTTGGCTTAAATATATTGTATAGTTTGCATTTTCGTTTTCGCATAATGTGAAAGCGTAAAATTACTTCAAAAGTGTGAATTGGAACGTGGGAATATTTGAAAAGAGCGTAAATTCAGAATTTTTTTGTTTGAATGGTTTGGTCATGAAAATTTATTTATTTTCCTATAACACTATTAACTAAAGTTATTTACAACATACTTTTAACACGAAAACATTTTTATTGATATTTACAATTGTTTGTTTTATTTATTTACACTTTTCCGAAATGGTGCTTGCCTCTTTCTTTAACATTTTTCTGAAGTTTCATTTTTCTACTGATTTTACTGCACCACAGAGACCGCCAATAGGACACTAAAAATTTTGTGTATTTTTTGTGTTTGTTTGTTTTTCTATGCTTTTGAAATTATTGTCCAATATTCGAGTAGCGCCGTTGAAATATCAACTGCTTTCTCAAAAAAATGTTCTCCAGCCAATTTTAATTTGCATGTGAGCTTTCCTAACATGAAGCTTTCACCAATTTGAGCTTTCATAATGCGAAGCTTTCATAACATAAAGCTTTCATCAATTTGAGCTTTCATATTATGAAGCTTTCGGTAATGCAGATTTGTGCTTTCATGAATACTAGCTTGACAAAGCTTTCATATGGCCAAGTCTACCTCTGTTTAAGCTTACACAAAATTATCACCCAAAACGCTTTTGTTATTGCTGCTTTTACTGTTGTCTCATTTTCATACTGCACCAGCGCCAGTTCCGCGTCGCCACATCCGATCCACCAGTTCTCAACAATATTAGGGCCACCATGGTCGTTGATGTGAGTGCGCATGCGCTGCATGCAGACCCGCTGCTGCCACAGCAGCCGCATGTTGATAGGCCGCGGCTCCATTTGCATGCAATACCAAATTATGCGCTGCAGCCGCATTTTGCATTTGCTGTGTCATGCAATCTTGCGGCAGTTTTGTGCCATCGGCCAAGCATGGTTTGCCATTTCGCACTAAAACCGGCACGGCTACGCGTCGCGGTGACGGCAGCGCGGCCGCATGATGCGGATGCATGGCGGGATGATGCTCGTAGACGCCTTTTTCATTTTGTGCACGTTTCGTCTTGTAGCGATGATTTTGGAACCAAATCTTGACTTGCGTCGGCGTGAGCCGTATCAAGCTGGCAAGGTGTTCGCGCTCCGGCGCTGATAGGTAACGCTGTTGGCGAAAACGTCGTTCCAATTCATAGGTTTGGGCTTTAGTAAAGAGCACGCGTCGTTTACGTTTCTTATTTGGCATGCCGTCGGCACCATTGGCTGAGCCATTACCATTTTCTTCATCGTTCTCATCATCCAAAATATCCTCCTCGATGCCATCCTCAATGAGGCTGTCGTCGTGCGGGTTGGAGGAGGAGCCGCCTGCGCTGGTATTGTCCGCGCCAGTGCCGCCGCCGCCACCACTGCCTGGCATGCTTTTGTTGAGCTGTTGATGATGCGCATGCAGCTGTTGGTGTGCCGCGGCAACGGGATGGGTTTGCATGTGTAAAGAATTTGCATCACCGACGGAGAGCGCATCGCTTTCGGCTGAACGACTGTACGTTTTGTAATCACCAGAGAGCGCTGGCGAGGTTTGACAATTGGAGCCAATGTAGGTATAGGAGACCTCGGAGGTGTGTGGTGACGTGCTGTCCGGACTGGCTGGCTGTTGCATGCCTGCAGAGAGGAAAAAGAAAAGAGGCTATGATTAGTTGTTGCAAAATTAAGCAACTTAAAAGTTTATTATGCATTGAATGAAATTTCAGAGTTGATAGTTGGAACATTCTGGTTTGTCCGGCTTGGTCAATGCAGTCCCTTAAAATTTATTTCAGTGATGTTAAGTTCTGTTTTAAGTGCAGTCCCATCAGTCTACTTCTGCTCCAAAGAGATTTTACAGTCGCCTTTTTCCTTGTCTCTTTTTCTCTATACTTCGCTGTTTCGAAGTGTTCCCAAAATCTTTTGCTTCACGCGGCTCTCTAGCGCTCATCAACTATTAAATTTTCATTTGTCTTACTCTCCGTTCAATTGCGAACTTCCGTTTGTCATTGTTTTCACATTGCTCATCTTGCAATGCGAGTCCCTTATTCCCCATACACACCAACTCTGCCTCGTATCCTGGGCGGCAACACTACAAAATTCCTTAATTTATTGGCCTCTAAACAAAGCACAATGGGAGGGCAAACAAACAGTCTATCGTGTAATTTTTCTGCATTTGGGCGGAAATAAATTGATGTACAACAAAAGTTGACAATCATTTCTTGCTCACCGATCTCGCCGCCGTATCGCTCACAATGTCAGAGACAATGACGCAACGATTTAACAATTCGGGCAGAGAGGGAAACCGGAAGGATGGCACATGGATTAGATCACACCTTCATTTGAGGTTTTCACTTTTCACACAAAGCCCAATTGAAATCGCACAAAGGGCGGAAAGCGACGGCCAACAGTATTTACTTTTTATAACCAATTCAATAATTCCAACCGGGTTTCCAGGGGGAGCAGCTCAAATGCAACTCATGACGGGGGGTGTCGCCGTACAAAGTCACTGTCACTGCAACCGTCGGCCATTTCATATGCGCTCGAAGGTGTGCGAAGAGGAATGCAACAACAATGCAATGCAAAGGTCAGTGGAAAGGTAACCGACAAATGGAGGAAGCGCTGGAAGTAGGAAGTATATGAGCGAGCTGTATGCTCAGAGAGGAAGTAAAGTCAGTGCGTTTTGAAGTCATCGATTAAGGGAATTGTGAGGCCGCTCGCTGAGCCATTGAAAACAGCAAATAAAAGAATGTAAAATCACGGCAACCGTAGAGGAAATTAGCTGGCTGTAGGCTAACAAGCGACTGAGAGATATATAGTAAAGTGTGTGAGTGAGAGAGCGCGTGATGGTATTGACTATGTGTATGTGGTTTGTTCACTTATGAATGAAAAAGGGAGTTCGAGTCAGCTCAGGTAGAGTACAACAGAGAGTGCGTGTATATTTCATTGATACTATAAGATTGATGGGATTGTGAAAACTACAGGAGGTTGGGGCATTTAATTGATGCTATTAGTTTATGAATAGCTAGCTACACAAAAGGAGGAAAAAAGAGTAAATGCTAATGAATGAATGCTCATTAATATTTTTCTAATTGAGTTCAGGAAGAGCTATTTCTATTCAGCTCCAAATTATGACACTATAGAGGTCCTTGCGGAGCTCGCAGTAAATAGCATTTAGAGTTCATGTAGCTTGGAGAGCGCGTCCATAAGCAAAAGTACTACAAACCAGCTACTTAAAGCTGAGAATTGCTACTATTAATTACCAAACTTTCAAAACGGGGTCGAAAATATCAGAATTCGGAGATATTTCAGTGTTTCCAGCTTAACGCTAGAGTTATCTCAGCTCCGCTTCTAGACGTAAGTTCTTGCAGTTGTGGTTCCATGAATGCTAAAAGCTGATTCTTTTCTTAAACTCACAACTGACTTCAAGGCTAAGCTCTCACGGTACGAAAATTCGTGTTTTGTCGAGCATAAGCTTGAATTCCGATGAATCCGGCGCAAAAAATGCCATTTCAGTCTCACACTAACCTCAATGGGTTTGGTGCTACATACTATATTTATGTATTCTCGTTGGTCTTTTGCCTCCCGAAATCACACATTAATTTCACTTTCAAAGCAGTTCCTATCCATGTACCGTCTTTGTCCTACTGCGAAAGGGGGGTGTATCCGCAACACCAAAGGTATGAATACAACAATGCGTAGCCGTAAAATTGTCGACAAATTTTCCGTGTTAACCTTTGTGTTTACTCAATACATAACTCACAGCTACCACCACCAGCACCACTACCAACATCAGAGCACCGGTGAGGGCCATACATACCATAGTAAGCAAAACAACAACAGCCCGGCCATCAAATACAATTAGTCACATTAGCTGACTTCTATGAATCTGCCCGGCTTCGACTTCCTCAATGCAACTCTGCAAACATTTTATGGGTTAAGTTTTGTTGTTGCTGCGTTTGTTAGGTTAGGTAGGTTTGTGCTTGTCATTAATTGTAAGTTAAAAAGTTATTTTCATTTAACACAATATCGATACGACGAGTATATTGCAATCTTAACAAGACAAGAGGCAGATGTTTAACATCACCGCACACTGACACACCCCCCGAACACACATACACACACATATATGGAAGTATATCGTCGGCATATATGGCAACCACGCATGCCGCAAATTATGCTAGCGAATGCACCCTCGAACTCTGCGTCGTAGCCTCGCTGGCATCTGCCTCGTTTTTTGTTTTAATTTCTGTTTTTATTTCGGCTTTTTGCTTACGAGTTGTAATTGAATTTTCCAAATTACGTTTAAATTTTGTCTAATCATATTTGTTTGACTCTTCTTTGTTGTTTTTGTTGTGCTCTCATGGCACTTTCGCTAGTTTACACTTCAGGATTAGGCATATTTGTTTAAATGCGCGGCACTCGTGGTTTAAATTGTCCAACGGTGTCGATTCTAATTTGTACTTTGGCTAAATTGTCACGCACTACCGTTATATGCGCCCGAAGCGCGCTAGCCCGCTGTTTTGAGAACTTCAGCAGCTGTCTTATAACATTTTTGTTTTGTTTACCCCTTCCCCGGTCGCTGCTCTGCAGTTATTAAGTCATTAGAAAAGTGTGGTTATGTTGCCTAGGTAAAGGGGATTTATTAGTGTTAAATAAGCTTAATTTGTTTTTTTTTGTGTTTATACGAGTTGGTAGGGGTGAGGTTTCCAGGGATGTTGTTGTAAAAATATTAGAATTTACAACAGTTTTTAAAGATCTTAAGTTCCTTGGAGATCTTTGAAGCTGAAACATCAAACTCAGAATACCATAAGGCACAAAGCTCTTAGTAATATCTATATTACTCAACGGAAAGCTCGTTTTTTGACCTTTCACAAGTTTGGAAAAGCTCTTATGAGCTTTCACGAATTGTAAAAAAAGCTCTTCAGATTTCTTCGATAAAGGGTCAAGAACAGTTAGGTCTCTCTCGTTTAGCTTTCACGAATTTTACAGAAGTTCTCAAGGTTCTATGTATAAAGCATCAAAGACAGTTGGGGTATTCTAATGATATTTTTGACAATTTTATATACTCGTCGTGTTCGCTCTTAGAGCTTTTCCGTTAAATCAGTTCCTCTGAAAAACATAACAAAAACAAGCGGTTTCTTTTACTCACCATATAGCTCATTTTCTTTAATCCACGCGCTACGCGCCGGATGCGCCAACACAGTGTGCGTCATCTGGTGATACGACGACAATTCATCGCTAAAACTGGTGAAGTTCTTTGGCAAATATTGTCCGGCAGCGGCTGCGGCTGCCGCGGCCACGGCATTGTGGTGACTAGCTATCAGGTGAGCGGTGGCCTGAGCTGAGGCAGCATTCGCCGCCACAGCCGCGGAACTTTGATGATGTGCTGCGGCTGACTGTCCGTTGGCATCGGTGCCATTGACTATACCGCCACCAGTTACTAGCGTGGGTGTGGTGCCGGTGGAGTGTTGGGTTGTTTGATCATCGTTGGGTACCGTTAAGGTATTGTTGGAACCGGCGCCGCCCAAAACTGATGCCGGTGGTGTTAAGTGTGCACTGTGTGCCTCACCGTTACTATTACTATTGTTGTTGTGTAAGCTAGTGTTATTGTTATTGTGATGCTGAGGCATATGATGGGGCAGGTGGCTGGGATGATGCTGCTGCTGGGCATGTTGACTAATATCCGTTTGGCTGTGAGGACCAGCGGCAGCGGCATGGGGTGGCACGCCGCCATTCTTCAGCTCACTGCCATCCAAATTGAGTATGTCCGATATGTGAAAGCCGGAGGAGCGTTGCGATGGCGGCACCTTCGTGTCGAAGAGACTGTTGGGGAGAGAGAGAGAGTTATGAARAGGTTAGCATGTGACCAAAAGTTTTTGTGTTTGAATGTATGTATGTGAAGAAATGAAGTCCCAGGTGAAGTAGTCGCAAATATCGTTTCTCCACTGCAAGCCAAAGTGTAGCAACTTACAGTTTAGACCAACATTGGCCAGCCAACAGTCTACTAAAACAAAATTTTTTGATTCTTTGATTTGATTTTCAAACAACCTGGTTCTAGACTTGTCTCTGAGTAACACTTTTCTAAAACTATGTTTTCCCTTACTACACACTTTTTTATGTTATGCTGACGTTTGTGTAAAAAAAAGTTATGTTACTAACTGTCCAGTTTCAAGGTAATCACTTTGAACAAACTGAGCGCGGCCTTAGTTTTTCGAGGCAGTCTACCGCTATCAAGTGTATTGTATGGCCATTGTAAGCGCTGATTACGCTGACCGCACAATTGACCTTTCGCGAATAGTTTGTACCTTAAGGACAGCCGTATTTCTACTTAAAATCTCCAAACAATATTTCAATCACGTATTTCCCCAAAGCCACTTCCGTGCGCGGACGCGGGAAAATACCTCGCATAGTCGCGAAGTGCACATATTTACCCTGATGGAAAGAGCGGCGGCGAGTAATATTATTTAGTCGCCAAAATAAATAGTTTTATAACACTATTGTACTATTAAAAACAAACGAAATCCGCCGGCGATCACTCCCATCGAACGAAAGTACTCAAGAGTCTGCTACTTCAGCGAAATGACGTCGAAAGGATCGACAAGCCTCAACTGCACTTTTAGCTCAGCGCAGATTTCGCTATGAAGGTTGCTTTTGCCGTTATGCTCCTGGTGGAATTTCCACATTAGGTGTAATAGGGGAATTCCTGGTCAAATGTGAAACACATGTGTGACCAAAAGTTGAGTGCGCGTGAGCGTACAAAGCAAATCAAAATACAAACAAACAAAGGCGGCGAGAAATGTACATCGCCATAGCATGAACATATGAACTCCAGGAACTTGGAAGCGACAAGGCAAGTGGACAGCGCACTAGCCCAAGCCGCCTCTGCCACTGCGGCACGGACGGACCGCTGACGTTTGCCAGCAGCACAGGTAGGGAATTGGGCAACAGTGCTGGCGACAGACTGTCTGGCAGTGCGGGATTCCCCAGGCGTAGCGGCGAACATGCGGAACGTTAACAAGATGACCTTTACAGTAATGCCACCAGCTACCATAGTGTTGGTGCGACGAACTTGTAACGGCGTGGGAAATACTACAGCAGCAACACTTGCGAGCATAAGAAAGGAATATGCGCAGCGAAGGCAAGGATGAAGCGTACCGACAGATAGACAAACTGACAGCTAGACGGACGAATTGACGAACGGACGGACATTGTGAGTCAGTGCCGTTTCACCGCCATACGTCACACTAGGCACGCATGCACTCGCAACCTGCGCCGCTCGCACTGTGCCATTGGTTTGGGAAACTCCAATTTGGGAAAACCATAGATTGCAACGCAATCTGTTTATTGCCACTATTGTTTGTGTTTGTTGGCTTGTTGCAAGTGCAGGAAGTAACATATGTTTCGCATTTGCAATGCCTAGTGCGACCGACACAATGCGGAAGAAGCATGTCCGAGGTAACATGTGAAAAGAAGTAAAGATTGCGCTCGCACAGGTAAACTCGTGCGGTCTGCAGGAGCTATGCACCAAAATAGTTTCTCTACTAATCAGATGTGATTGTTAATTGTTGTGGGTATTAGGAAAAATTTAAACCAAATTTATTTGAATTTGTTTGCTAAATGTAAGCTGACTTAACCGAGGTAGTCCGACAAATGTGGCATACACTGCTTACCTAGTCGCTGGATAAGACGCAAGCCTGTACAATAAGTAGGACTGAGCTCAAACATATGTACGTGAGTCTGGCGGTGCAGCAGCGAAGGTGCGAATAATCCGACGATTTGCTAGTTTAAATCAAAGTTAATTTATCAAAGGCAGGGATTTGCTTGGGAGATCGCTTGCTGTAACTAAACTAAATGAAGTCGGCAGGAAAAGTATGCTTAAGAAGGGTGCGTGAAGTGCGTGAAAAGAAAGTCGGACTTAAATACCGAAACCTTGACACCTTAGTTAGTTAGGATSTTCCTCATACAAGTGACGTATTATTACGTGTTTACTGCCGATCCCGAATAAATGATGCTGATGGAAGCTCATTCGGCCAACATTCTTTTGGAGTGAATTCTATGTCAGGCGGGCAAACTCAGCCATCTTAACTCAAAATATGAAAAATTTTGGATTTGAATTGTTTTGCTTTGCTGTCGAGAATATACCGGAAAACTAACGTCTAATAATGTCTAATCTTCAGGTTGAGAAGAACTTTCGTACCGCTTTAGATCTTTCGAGCCTGAATACCTACAGGTTTTCCACTAAAATCTCCACTTTGATAAAAACCAATTTATTTATAGAGCTTCATAAAGTTCCTCAGAGTCCCATTTGTACCCAAATCGTAGAGATGGATAATGCGACTATCTTGTCTAGGAAGTTCCTTAATTAATATATTAGTATTAAGTGTTCTTGAAGATTCCATGCTCATTTTTGTTTTAAATCAGAGCTTCCTTCCAGTGGGCGGGTTTTTCATTTCGAAAGTCTGCAAAGAAGCATGATCTTTGCGTGCCGTACCCCTCGGACATTGAAAAACTAAATTCGGAATCTATTTAACAACGTCGGAAAATCTAACCGGAAATGTTCAATTTAGTGTAAAAAAATAATGTTTTTTGTGAAATTGGCTTAATGATCTTGAATAAGCCATTGTTCAAAGAAACACGACGATGCTTCACACTCGCACAGGTAGCGAATCTTGAATTGAAACACTTGTGTCAAAATCAAAGAAATCACTCGTTTTTGAGTACCATTGTGTTGATTTCCGTCCTTTTATTGATAACACTTTGCAAGGTTCATCCATAGAGCGGGAGACTGCGTGCAGTGTTTGGATAATTGAAAGTCATTGACTTTGAAAGAAATAACTTGATTCTTTAACAAGCGGATGTGTAGCGGAAACGAACATACTTTTTCACTTGTGGCATTGTTTAGGCCAAATTTGGCTACGTTATTTTAGGAGCTAGGTTTGACTGTTGGAAAGGTCGTGTTGACACTTAAATTGCAAAGATCTCTGAATACTGCCTGCTTCAAAAGAACATGAATTGAGGATAAGTTCCCACGAGATTGTGTCAAAAGTTTGCCAGCAAGGTTGCTTTAGGCTGTCACTTTATAATTTGATTAACTTGCGTAACAAATTTCAACTAATTTTGCGTTAGGCTTTCAGAAACTCTCGAACTATTTTCATAGAAAACCAACCCTTTTAAAATTTTTCACTTTCTATATGCTTACCCCGGTAACGCGCTACGCAAAGCCGCCGGATAGAAAGCAGGCAGGAGTGGATGTCCCCACGGTGGCAGCAGTATCGGTGACCAAGGTAGGAAAGGAGCCGCCGCTGCGGCAGCTGCAGCCGCGGACGGTACCATTAAACTGCTCATGCTGTGCAACGATGGAAAGGAACTGAAAGCCGCCGCTGCTGCTGCGTTTGTGGGCAAACGTAAATGATCCGCGATCGAGGTGGGCGTAACTGTCGCTGGGTTATACACGGGCACTGCACGTATGGGTGAGTCGACTAGGTCCTTTGTTGTGGACGCTGAAGCTATTTCGCGTGTGGGTGTGGAGGTGCGCGGCGGTGGCGGTAATGCGGGCGGTGTTGGTGTTCTAGAAGTACGTCGCGCTGTGGACAAATGGTTGCGCGGCTTGGTGGGCGAGGGTGGTGGCGTGGCGGCACTGGAGGAGAGCGATTCCAGCGATTTCCGTCGGTGCTGTGGTGAACGTGGTGGCCGCCCTGGCGACGGCGTGCGTTTGCGTTTCTCAGCCACTTTGACGGTGTTGGCGGTACGCGGCTGCGACAGGAAAGTAATCTTTCTCTAAAAATTGTAGTTTTATAAGATTGCGTGGTCTGCTGGACTGCAGCTACACTTTTGCTTTCGATTGATTAGTCAGGGACGCCTGTTTGTTAGCGTAAAATTAACTTTTCTTTATTCTGCTGATCACTGGTTTAATGAGCACTTTAGGTAAATATATGGTCCAGAGACCGTGTTTCACACATAAAAATCGCACACTTTATTGGTTCTTGACATAACTTTTAACGACTTAATTGAAATTCACTTGGTTTTTCGCTTTTTCTGAGTTTATACAAATTGAATTTTTGGCCTTTCGAAATTTGATTTTATTCACGCGTTCACATTCCGTGATTTTAGTGGGCGTACTAGCTGATAATAGGCATGCTCTTCAGTTCGAGTACTATTCGAATTTGGCTGCTCGAATTGAGACCGCGTACACTTTTCAAACTGAAGTGTCATCAACAACTAACGAGTCGCCGTGTATGCCGAGAAGCCACAACCAGTCAGCCATTCGACCAACCAACGCATCAGCCCAGTTCAGGCAGCTAGGCCCGGCAGCCCAGGCCAACCAACGGCAGTGCAGTCAATGCATTACACATCCAACCAAACAAACGAGAGTCATCAACAACCACCAATACACACACACAAACACATGTGGAGAGCCTTATGAAGAACGTCAGCCATCGAGCAGTAAATAGGTATGCGGACAGACAGGCCAACAGCCAAGCCTTTGTGCAACTTCATTCACTCGGTCGGCGCAACAACAAAGTCATTCAGCTGAATTGTTTCCTTTTTCAATCGATTTTACTAAGTGGCTTCTCATGTCCTGCGCGCACAAAAACAACAAACACTACAACACAAGCACGTATACTTCAGTCGAGAGCGGTGGAGCGGTTATCGAGTCGAGTGGAGTGGAGTGGAGTCGAGTGGAAAAAGCAACCAGCAACCACCACCGAAGCAGTGCTCGCAGGCTCGGCCCAGTCGACTCGTTGTCTATTTAGTGTGACTGCTTCGTGTGTTTGTGTCTGTGTGTGTGTGTTGTGATGAGTGAATTATCCTTGTGCTCGAGA